AGCTTCTTACGTCCCATGGCATGCATAGCGCACAGTCCATTCGACATAAACTTCTTGATCTACCATTGACACATTGACTTCAGGCCATCCACCACGCCTTTAGGTCTTAGCAGCTGCAAACGGGTTTATTCTATTCATCGCGCTAATGAATTTGGAATTCAAGCCCCGCTTAGCGCAAAAATCTCGGCACGCATGGCTCAGAAGACGTTGGTAAATATCGTATTGGTTAATTCCCACACTAGGAGAGGACGGGGGGACTCGCAGGAATTTCTCTTTTGATGATGTAGATCCCTTGGCTAAACCTAGTCAGGTAATAATAAACTTGAAGCGAATCAACGTCCGAAATAGAGGCTTTTGGAAGTCACGGTCTCAATCGGCCAAAACCAAAACCCTAAGTCCGGTGCTATCCTTGTCCAGCTTGTCTAAACCAAGATTTCTAAAGCAGGCGCCAAGAAAGTGAAAGAATCGCACAAGTTAGGCATTTTGGCATAAAGAGTAAGTGGTTCGTTTTGGATGTTGCAGCAGACCCCTCGACAGCTAGATCCTTATGTAGGCGGAAGCGAGATCGCTTGACGGAACTACTCGCTAGTCCTATAAAGGATGTAGCCAAGTAGTAGCGGTGCGATACGGAATCACATATTTTCCTCTATAGATAAATTCATGACAGACGGGCTCTAATTCGTTATACGCTTCTGCGGCGTTAAGAGCTCGGGATACGATTAGTTCATTAGGGAAATTAATAAAATTATCACTATACGTGGATCTATGGGGAACGGTGGATACCGTAAGAAAAACGGGTCAGCTTAGTCGATCCGGGCATAACTGAGCTTCCCCGACAAATCATCAAACCTTTCTTACTGTCTAGAGCAATCCGTCGATATCTAAAAAAGCATCGCCGTCATAATTATCTGCCTGTGATTGCTCTCAATATACTATAGTACCGAATTCACCCTTAGAATAATAAATCCGATATAATGGTACTTCCCAAATGGCGCGGTTCTGGCGCGGAACTTGGCCGAAGACGACATATGGTCCTCTGAACACTGCTAGGAGAAGGCCACAGCATTATCTCTTATAGGGACGAATTACTCAATAACCCATTTCGGGTAACCCATTTGGGTCTTATGAAAGATAGTGACTGATATTTTCTCACTACTTTTGACGCTTAGAACCCACGGACTCTCGATTCTTAACTACGTCCCTGCTCGACAAAACCTCCACTTGTTTCCTCAATACGGTCACTTCTTTTTTCAACGCGTCTATAGCGCCCGTCTTGTCTGCAAAACTTTGTTGCATTTCCCGATTCCACAGGATCTAGCCTATGAGTGAGTCTGCATTGGATCTAAAGCGTATTAGTGTGGGATCCAGGTTTTGTTTAAGAGAAACTTACTATACCCGTACATCCAACCTATGATTAAAGCCATCAATATAGGGTATCTCATAGGGCGATGGTTTTAGACTCACTCTACCATACATTCGATCATATTCAACATACATTCTATGGGGTACTTAGGGTTCAAGGATTTTATAGATCTAGTTCTGTCCTAGTCCACGCTCTCAGGTTTCTCGGTGCGTTATTCCTAAGTCTCCTCCTTATCGCTGAATTCATTCACTAGTGTAGCCTTACGTTCGTCATCGGATTCGTCGGTCTACTAAAAATGGCAGTCATAGTCTACAGAGCCGGCGATTGACGTGGGCGGGCTCCCACTAATATTTGGCTCCGGTGAGCCCGATAAAAGCAATTAAGACATTCGGTCTACATATCGCTGCGAACCACCATAAGTAGGGTTGCTCTAGATACCCATTGCTACTATCTTAAAGTAGGTCAAGCAAATAGCTGGGGAAATATTGTGAAACGAGGAATGCGTTGTAGTGAAAAATGGGAGCGTCGGCTCCTTTAAAAACCTAAAAGTGAAAAGGAACCAGTACCCAAACAAGTCTAGTAGTGATTATATGAGTTCAGTGTCTTCGTATATCCT